AGAAAGGAACATAAAAGCTAACATAAAAGTCGAGTTTTCTGATTTTTTGTGGAACTTTTAATGCCGCTCGCCCCTAGTTGTACATACAGCATTCAGAGACCCGCAACATATTGCTCCATGTTAGTTATTGGACGCGCTATGTCTGTTAGAGTGGGTTCGCCTGCAACTGAGACATTTCCACACATGGCACAACATGACATGTAATTAGAGTAAACCACGGTTGACCAAAATATCATAGAAGAAAGCGAGCCTCAACTCCAAGAAGTCATTACAAAGACTGGACTTGTAAGCCGACCTGACACTGTTCACACTGTCAATGGTGTAAAAATTATGAACCCAGCATTCTCCAATTTATTCTCAGCGGGTTCCCACTGCGGTTGCTTTTCATCATAAAAACTGAGACAATGGTCGCCTTTCTTTGAGTACTGCAGAAGCTTTCACTTTTGGAAAAGCTTTTCCTCGCCTTCGCTCCACACAACTTCTTGCGTGGGGGAGGGAGGCCGGCAATAGCGAGGTGCTATTTCTTGCATGTCATACATAGTATAACAGAATACGACTGTTAAGCTCAACAAATCCTCGAGCAGCCTTTTGAAGAGGCATTGACGGTGTTGTGAGCAAAACAAAATCTTTCGTGCTAAAAAGCTATGCAACTTCTTGTGCTGTAGTGTGGTCAAACTTAAGTTATTATGGAGTACTGTCTTCTACAGTAAGCCCTCTCGTCAGTTGTTATGAGTTTCTAGCAAATGAGCTCGTTCCCTCCACCTCAGCAAAGCCGTTTTGGAGCTACTCTACGTATAGAAGAAGGTAGTATGCCATCGGTAAATCGAATACCCCGATCAGGTTAATAGGCTATGGTTTCCTTGAATATCAAGCAAACACCTGGATGATCCCGCCACGATGCTCAGACCTCTCATGAGTGCTCTGCACGAAATTCTGTTTAGAAACAACTCATGTCCTTCGAAAACGAAGTCTCACTTTTATGCGGAATCTCTCCCCTTACAGATTCTTCGTGCCAGTCCAAGGCACGCGGTTGGCAATCATCGCTTGAAGTAACCAAAGCTCTCTAAGACTCCTACACGTCATTTAGTCACTGACATTTCAAAAGCTTCATGATTTACGTGCAGCATACAGTGCATACTCTTCTGATCGCCATATTAACCCTTATGCTTATAAGTCCCACAAAAACCTCAATCACTTGCATTAATGGCTGCCGCTCCAATATGGTGCCTCATTACAAATCGTGGCCGAAAATTTGCGTGGAAGTTCCAAAATACTACAAAAAATAAAAATCGAATATTTCTGATAGCGAGTATATCAGATCTTACTGTGCTTCCGAATGTCCCTCTTTCAAAATGTCACGATATTTGCTCAAAGCTCCACTTTCATTGCGTTGACCTAAAGGAGCTACCTCAGAAGCCTGACATTCCTGAACAAAGGAACAAGCCTGCTGTAGGAAGGGGGGGGGGGGGGTAAAATGAGCCGGCGGCGCAAAGTCCTGCTATACTTGCCCTGCCACCAAGACAGGGTATGTGCATAGAAAACAAAAATATCTCTGAGCCAAGGAAATGTCTCCACTTCAGAGGTGTGGGTAGAGTGACTCACTCAACGTCTGTAAAATTGCAGTGCGCGAGGTTACAGTATTCCAGTGAGAGGGTTCAGATAAGCGGACCGGGCAACGCCGGCAGTTCGCCCAAGTTCCAAAGGGTGAAACTCCAGTTCGGGGGGGGCACTCCATTGCTATCTTATCCGTAGTACTAGAGAGCAGTTCTTTGGGCTATCGAACACTACGGATAAGATAATAAGTGAACGACTCATTTCGAGCGTACTTTTGATAAGGACCGGTGGATGTCCTACATTCCACACACCTGCCCACATCCCATCCACTTTTCTGCACAGGTCATCCACCCTGGAGCTCCTCCACCCTTAGCCCTAGGCAGAGGTGTCCATTCTCCTGGTCCAGGACCGTTCCCTTGGACCATGGCAGGCGGAAATGTGAAACATCAGGGTTTCTTCCCATTACACCGATACTTATCAGAAGTCTACTTTAAATGAGTCGATTACGTGTCGTGAGCCCTCTAATCCTTATCTTGAGTATTGGAGAAAAAATGGAGTGCCCCCCCCCCGAACTGGAGTTTCACCGTTCCAAAGGATCAAACGGTGTTTGCAGTGGAGCGGCAACGACCTCGCACGTTTCTGGACTAGGCTTACGTTAGCTTTTGTGGTTACCACACCTTAACAAATGGGAACCTTCCACGATGAATCAAGTAGTATATCGGCAGTGACTATATAAAAATTAGGGAAACCCCTCAAGGTACGATCAGGCGGAATGTTGCGGAGATCACTGGGCAAAAAACAACTAGTACGGGGAAATACTTTTTTTCGCAAGTAGCTGTGACCTCACGGCATCAAGGACATCACACATCGAGGAGAAGAAATGTTCCGAAAAAAAGTAAAAGCTTAACGTTGAGTGGTAAAATTGGCAAGCTTGCAAATTGCTCGGTAGAGCTATAAAGAAGGCATGCAACACGGCGAAGGTGTAGAAAAAAAAGATGAGGAACGTCTTCTTTTCGTAGCCGCTGAACAGCCTTCGCTTAAGCATATGGGCTGAAGGATAAAGGGTTTAACGTTGATCAATCTTTGGGAGGCGCCACGCATATCAATTCCATTCAGAATTGTAGGGCACTTTATTTGCGATTTGGGCTATACAGCGAATTGCGGGCCAGTGTCCAAGCCAGTGTTTTAATCCTCTAGGACAAGTATGGTACTGAACGACTCCGATAATTGGAAGGCTTAATTCACCTGGACGACCTAATGAACAGGGTTAGATCCTTCGGACGGTGCCCGCGCAAGCAGCGCCATTTGCCCCTACACAATTTCGCCTTATGGGCTAACATAGGCGGAAGTGGTGCAGCGAAA